GGGTAATCGGGGAGATAAAGTGGGCTGCTATAAATGGCCTCATGTCAGAGCAATGTTCTAATTTTTGCCACCCCACGAGGTTCGGCCAATAGGGCAGGGTGTCCCAATTTCGTCACATTCAGTTTGTGGACTCACTCGTGCCCACCTACGCTAAACGTTCCGTCTGCCAAATGCAGAATCATAACGGTGTCTATCCAATATTCCCACTGTTTTACTTTAGATTTGCCTGTAGATTAGCTGGTGGTCTTTTAGAAACTGGGTTATTTATTTATTAGCATACAAACTGCTGCTGTGTGGAAAGATAGATAGAAGGAAGAGCAGAGGAAGATGAAGAACAACATACACAGATGGCCTGAACAGCTTTGCAACGAATAAGACAAGGAGAAAAACCGAACTGATCAAGAAGACAGACAACAGGAAGGAATGGGGTACCATGATCGTCAATGTCTGCTTCAGACCTGACACCTCGAGAAGAAGAAGATGGGCATACGGTCACTTGTTCCAGTTTCATCATGCAGTGTAGTTCCAAGACTACAGAAAAAAAAAACTCAACTTATTTCCAGCAGCCTCACACACCAGCAACAAAGCCACGAGCTTGAGGCATCAAGACATGAAAGTTTCGAAAGAGACCTTTTTTTTTTACACGCTATGCTATCTCTATTTGGAAAAAACCAGAACCAGTCCAAATCGCGGGTGGTTGGAGGGCACTACTGGTAGGTGTCTTACTTCTTAACTTTCTCTCTATTGTTTCTGTCTGTCTGTCTGTCTTACTATTTTCCGGCACTAAGTGGCCATTATTGTGTCGATGTGCATTTCCTTACTCAAACAAACAAAACTAGCAAACAGTTACGCAAACAAACTAACTAGTTCAACTGGTTACTTGGACGAGGACAGGCGCGTGCTCCGTGACGTCATATCACGCTAGTTCTTCCCTCATCGGATTCTCGTTTTCCTGGCGTATTGGCGGGAATGGTTGTGTACTGTATAGTAACACTTGAGGGGAAAGGGGG